ATTATGGTAATAAACAAATTTTATCTGTGTTTCAATTACATCCCAATATTGATGAACTTCATTCCATTGTAAAAGAAAGAAAAGGAAAATGGATACATTTTAATTCACTTCCATCTTATCCATACGAACATTTCCAAAGAAATGATCATTTAATTTATAAAAATCAACAAATTGATACAAAACAAATTCAATATTATTTATCTTTTCAACGTTTAACAACTGAATTTAATTTAAACGATTTAAATCCTAAAAAAATTTCATTCTTATCTCCTCAAGAGACAGGTTTATCAAGTGGAAATTTACTTGAATGGGGAAATATTGACAGTCCTGATCATCCAACCGATCAACGAGAAGATGATGGAAGATCATTATGTTTTGAGTCTCTTCCATTAAATCATGATTATGGTATTTATTATAGAAAATATTTCAAATAAATTTTTATTCATCTTTAGAATTATTTGGATTTCCAACTGTTAAACTTAATTTAAGTTCGAATAGTCAAAATGGTTTAATATATGTCCGTCTCTGTATGATTGAGGAAAAAAGTTCATCTTCAATTCTTATTTCACGTGGAATTCTTAATTTAACACATTATAAATCACATGAACATCCTCAACCACTAAATATTGATGAAATTTACAAGTATGTATTTTTTTAAATAGTATTTAAAAAAAAAGAACATTTTCTTTTTTCTAAAACTAAAGTGTTGAAGTAACATTATCTGGTGTTTGTGTATGCTTACCAACTGGTTGTCGTCTTCGTTTATCTTTATCAACATCATACTGGCCAACTGTATGGCCTTCATCACAATTATCAACATTGACGTTTGTTATTATATATTTTAGAGAAAGAATAAAATTTTAGGATTTTTGTTTTGTCTAGAATTCATTTTAATGAAATATCACCATGTATTCTTACATTAACTTGTTTAAATGATCAATAGTAAGAGAATTTTTTATAATATATTCTAAAAAACAATACATTTTTGTTGTGTAATTTATGAAGTTTGACAGGCGATGATTTTGGTTTTCCGGAAATTTGTCAAGGAATTCCAATAAAATATTTACGAAATAGTTCAATTACTCGTTTTAGAATATTAGATGAAATTAATGAATTAATAACATTAAAAGTAATTTGATTTTTCTAATCTTTTTAATAATTTTCTTTCTTTTTTGTTTTTAAAGATCAATGAAGATAATGGTTCTATTGAATATCCTGATGGTTTAATATGGGATGAAACATTAGAAAGTATTTATGAAATTAAAAAAAATGATCCTCAATCAGCAAGAATAGAAATCAAAAGATATTTAAAATATTATTTTCAAGATCAATCATCAATTAAAGTCGAAATAGAAACAAAATCCATTATGTTTAGTCAACAATCGCCATCAACATTTCAAATAATACATCAATTAAATGTCCATAATAAGGATCAATTATTTTTTAAAAATGATTGGGATTTAACATTTCCTAGATTTTGCAACTAGTTTTTTTTTAACTCAAATTAGATATGGCGTCATCATTATATTTCATCTTGAGTAACTTGCAATAATAGATAAAACATAAAAAATAAATAAATCAAATATTATCTTTCACTTTGCCAAGAACTGCTTTAATAAGAACATCTTAATCATATTTGTATCTATAAAATATAACTATTAGATGTTTTAAGAACTAACATAATATGTCGAAGGAGCTGTAAATTTGATTTTTTTCCTTCTTCAAGTTCATTTCGTAATAAAGTTTCTTGGAAATGTAACAAACAGACAGAGATTTCAGGAACATTAGTCTTCTTGAGAAAACTTTGAGCCTTCTAAGGAACGGTTGTGAACCAATTTTAAAGGTCCACTGAAGGTATGAGCAAGGAGACCTTCGTACCTTCTAGAGGGTGTGAGTACTTTCTTAGATGTAAGCTGAGAAAAGATCCTTACCAACGCTACACATTCATCACTGTAAAAAAATCCGTAGAATAATAAAGGAAAAAAATGTTTTTGAGAGGGTATTAAACAAAAAAAGGGTTTATGAAAGTGCAACGGGACACAAACCCTTTTTTTTCCGTATATGACGAAGATAATAAACGGTTTTTACGTTTATGATTTGGAAAAAGGGCTTATCAGATATTTCAAAAACGGAAAAAAGGGTTTGTGTCCCGTTGCACTTTCATAAACCCTTATTTTTTACAGTGATTAGCGCCCTATCTACTTTTGAATTTACCAATCAATGTTACATCAAATAATTTCGTTTATAAACCCAATTGTCGCCTATTTCTAAAACGAATGGTCCATCCCTATCATCTGCAATGCAAAAAACAGAAATTGAATTTTTCATGCTTTTAAAAGACAAGAAGAAAATCAATAATATATTCTTTATTTAGCGCATTGTACTTTCATATGCGAGTTCTACTTTTCTCAACAAGACAATTGCTGAATATGTAATTAGCAGCTATGAACATATTCCATAAGAAGAATAGCGATATCAATCATGTGTATGTCAGCATTCCATGATTTTATTATGTATAATTTGCTTATGATTCTTCTTTTATTAATAAAAAGCCATTGGGTTGAATAGCATTCGGATCGACAAAGCGCTATGTTTCTCCTTTCTCTACTGAACTTTCATGAACGGTAAACATTTTCGATTGAATACGGCACTGAAACACCATTCGATAATTTTCAGTATTTTCATCAGATACTTGAACAGGAAATACTTCTGTACATCGTGGGTGAGATTCGCTGTCACAATGAGTGGCTAAGCCTGGTCCATTTATTTCGATTCCATCAAATTGAAATGAACCATTCTTTATGTTGTTTTGGTGTGTTCCTTGAAATACGACTGACCATGCACCATCATTATTGTCAGAACCAAGCCAGGTCGCATCACCCAAATACTTATGATCGACTTCCTCGTAATACTTATTGAATTCTGAAGCAAAATCGTTTAGTTGCAATGGAAACTAAGATAAAACCGAAGCCCGCTTCATAAACATATGAAGCGGGCTTGACATATTGACGTACCGATCTTTGAGAAAAGCTTTTTTTGGCCATATCCTGAAAAACGAAAATAGTTCATAGATTTTTCCTTAAAAATCTAAGATAATTATATATAGAATGTTTGACTTTAGTAGGAGCTAGTCTAAGTAAGCATCAAATAGAACTCAATGCATAGTGTACCTGTAATAAATGAGCGAGCTGTTATGTTTCTTTAAAATTCGGTTTGGTTATAACGAAGTGAACTGTAGTTTCACCAGATTGTTTCTTTTATTTTTTCAGAGAAAGTACGCGAATATAGTGTGTAAATCATTTAAGAAGTACTACAACTAGTTTCGACCTTTCTCAAGGGTCTTCATCAGGTAGTTTAAGGGTGTGGGTGTGTTGATAGAATAATTATAAATTATTATAATAATCAATTTTTGTAGCTAGCAAGACCGGTTTTGATAAGTGCTAGAAGCTTAAATTTATCAATTGAATAGAAGATAAGATTTTAAATTCAGAGCATTACACGACCAGTTTCGTCCTTGCTTAAGGGACTCTACGGGCATGTTTAGAATTTATTATTACATGTAGAATCAGAACTCAATCAGATAATTCTGAGAAGTTAAGACTCAGTGCATAATAACTCCTATCAAATATTTTCAATAAAATAGAAGATAAGATCTTAAATTCAGAGCATCACACGATTAGTTTCGTCCTTGCGCAATTGCCATCGTCAGGTGTCTTTACAATGTATAGTATATGTATCTAGAACTCTGCGGATACTGAAGTCGTAATAGGCATGACCGTACTAGAAAACATCAGAATCACAATATGAATTTGTTATTAATAAATTTTAGATTGAAAGCATCGACACGAGGTGTGTCGACCTTGTCTAAGGGACTCATCATGCATGTTCATAATTTCGTTATTACATGTAAGTCATAACTCGCTCATATAGATGAGGAAGTAAAGACTCGAATGTAATAAGTTAACAACTTTATATTTAAAGCAGTCATAAATGTATAGTTGAAATTGAAAGCATCACACGACTAGCTTTTTCCATACTCGATTGACTTCAGGATGAAGTGTAAAATCTATAATATATGTATTCAAAGCTGTCGCAATTTCACGAAATGATGTAGAAACACATATGAAATTCAAGTAATACTAAGAAAGTAGTATAAATAAATTTTCTTTAATGGCCTATCTCGAAAATTTCAAGTGCCAAACACCGTCATGTTTTGCGTGAACACAATGCGGAATTCAGCTTTCTTGGTGAAACTTCCTTTCTTGGCGCCCTCAACAGTGTGATATGTGCTGAGAGGTAGAGAACAGTCACTGTATTTGTTTGTGATATCTTGTGGAAATCATTTTACTTTCACTCTCGACACTGTGATTTATACTTCTATATTGAACCTGAATTATTGTCTCGTGGTAAAGATGTTGTCCGCGTTCTTTTAAGGATTAGTTAGTATAGTGAAAATTTACAGTTAAATCGATGTTTAAATTTCTTTTTTTAGTCGTTCAAAGACTAGTTCGTTTTAGTGATGATTATACTGAAAAGATGATTCAATGATATGAATATGTATGTTTTCTAGTTAGTTGTAACGAAGTATATATTTGTTTTTATCTGTCTCCGCATTGTTTTGAAATGATGTATGGGATTGTTCGTATGTTAGATGTACTACAGTATGAATTGTGCAGATATTCAATGTATTAAGTAGCAATGTTTACATTTTCCATTTAGCTGAAGAAGCATGTTGCTATTGATCATATGATTATTTTGTGAAGTGATTTTTGTAGTTGATTGGTCTTAAATTGATGTTTTGGTGAATGTTTTATGCTACTTCTTGAAATTTTATCATATATTCATGTAGAATAAAGAAAATAGACATTGTATTAGTACGCAAATCAAGAAGATACTTATTTAGAAAAAAAAAGAGTATGTAAATTACTACCTATAATGAATAGATAGATATGAAAAGTCTATGAAGAAAAACACTTATCTAGTTGAATATGTAGAGATAAATGCAAGGGGGAATCGGCGGATTGCCAGGATTACCAATCCCATGGAAACCTTGGCAATCCCTGGAAATGTCGGCAATCCTATAGAAGTCTCGACAATCCCATGGAAATCCCATAAATCCCATGGTAATGCCGAAAATTCCATGGCAATGCCAAAAATTCCATGAGAATCCCATGGAAATTCCTGAATTAATTAATGCGGATATGTGAAAAATACTGAAATTATAGATCATGTTCATACATATCAGATGCAACTTAATTCAATTAACATTTCTAAAACTATTGCGCTTAGAAAATAATGTAGAGGTGAAGGATATAAGTCATTTCTAAATGAGACATCGAATTTCTTTCACAATTTAAGCTCCAAAAGCTAAATAACAATCAATTTCGGGGTAGCCTTGACAAATCAGAAGAGTTTCTAATTCTGGTAGAGAATATAACATAATAGTTTCGAATGAAATAGGCTGAAAGCTGGAAATTATGGAAAATGAAGCTTCAACGAGCCGGATGTCGACCTAACATGATGTTATCTTCCACTGGAACTAAGCGGAAAACAATATATTATGTTATGCATGCTCATCATTGAGAGGATCTAACACCTGAGCAAATTAAAACTTTATTCAAATCTTTCTGTTCCATATTTCTTTCCTCAGGTAANAATAATGAACAGCACCAAGAATATGTTTCATAGAAAACGGATCAACAGTGAGTTTGGTTACTTTCTCATTAATTCGAAGTAAAAGTTTCGAACAAATTTTATCAAGAATATCAACATCCATCAATGAAGAGAACATATCGGCCGTAAACAATTTATTGAAAATGATACGTAATATTTCATCTGGTAGATCGAATATATTAATATCGTTGCTTTTTAAAATGTTCATGTCTAATGATTAATTTTTCACTTGAATCATTCTCATCTTTTAGTGTTTATATATGTTATTTTTCTTTCTTAAGTAGTGTCATGTTTAGATTAAGTTGAAATAAAACACTCAAAATATTTGAAATATGTTCCGAACTGTTTTTTTTTTTATCAAATAACAGTATTGATGTACTTTACTTAAACGTTAAAGACACTGTAATAATATAAAATCATCATATATAAACTGCATTCATCTAAAGATTCGATGTATGCGCTATTATTCCTTTTGTTTGTGTGTCCTTCATAGTTTATTGAGTTGATGATAGTCGACGTATTTGAAATGAATACATGCAATTTTTATCATCACGAAAAATATTGCCGGCATTATCGAATTTTTCACACTAATTTGGTGCAGAAAAATGTTACTGATTGACGTTTAACAAAAAATTTCTAACTATCTTCAATAAACTTAAAATTATCTAATTCAAGAAAAATTTTATTTATTTATTTTTCGTTCAAATATAACTCTAATGTCTTCGACAATAAGATTAGGCTCATGTGGTGTTAAAAACTGTGTACTAACATTCGCATCAAATGTAAATGATACATTATGATAGATTTTTCCGCAGTCGGATGAATCGAGTACATCAGTTGGTCTTGCAATACAGATGATTTGTTCAAATAAAGAAAGAAAATTTTTCCATGTTTTATGTTTGATAACAAAAAAGAATAATGATCTTTTTCAAGAGACATTTTCCATCAGTTAACATAATCACATAGATTCTACAAAAATCGAATATAAATAAAATCAAATGAAATTTTATTCACCAAGAAAAAGATAATTACCTTCAGGTGGATAACTATTAGTATTAAATAAATGAAGTAAATCAACAACATTGACTATGTGTATCAATACAAATTTTTAATGGAGTTTCTATTTAAAAATGCTTGAAAGATAAATAGAAAAACTGATATTTAAAACTTTACCAAGTTTAAGAAGAAGAATTGGTGGTACAAGTAACAAAAAATATTCAATATTCTAGAATTGAGGTCGTGTCGAGGATTCTATGTAAACTTGAGATAGTAGTTATTTTGAACAATAAATATTGATTTAAAGTTTTTTATGATGATAAAATTTGCTAAAATCAAATATGGATTGCAATATTTATAATGCAGAGCAATACGACGTTTTAAAACTATTTTAATAATGAAAATGACGCGTTCACTTGAATAATAGTATGAAATACGCCACAATATGGGCTCTCTCTCTACAAGATAATTGTTGAAATTTTGGTTACAATCAATATTTCAAAAGCATCTTTTTCTAGCCACAACCAAAATACGAAATGGCTACTTGTCAATCATTAGACGGATTTCTTTAAATGATGAGCTGAAATAATTGACTCTTCGTTACTTTTATTAAAAAAAAAACCACTCGTTCTGTGATGTGAATATATTCCGTGTATGCTAGCATAAAAACCATTTACAATATGAAAAAGATCTGCAAAAAAAAGTTTTGTACAAAATACTCACATTCATAGATTTTCAGGTTACTTCGTTCAAATATTTTACTGCCTGTAGTTCTTTATCAGCATTCATATTATTATTACCATTATTATTTAACAAAATTGAATCATATTCAATCTTAAGAATTATTAATTATAAATAATTCAGTCGAAATAGTTGACACTAAGTTAAGACATTAGAAACAATATGTAAAAAGAAAGAACGGAAAAAGATTCTATTTTTGCTGATGGGGAATTTTCATTAATTATTTTCTTTTTGAAAAGAAATCAATATGTTTAATAAGATTTTTCAATAGAATTATTTTTTAAAATAATATTTCTTTGTTTTGAACCAATCAATATTTCTTAGATATCTATTGCTAAAAACAAACAAAAAATAACAACACATAAACTTTTCTTTTATTCTTAATAATTGTATGTACAAATATCAATCAGCATTTTTTTTTATTTTTAATTAAAGAATTATTTGTCTAACCTTTCGAAAAATGCTTGAACACATTCACTTAAACTATTGTTGGTACTTTTGATTAAATCAATAATCAATTTCATAATAATTATTTGACGACTGATATTTTCCATAACAGAATAATTCTAAAATTATTTTTGATTTTTTTGATAACTATTAAAATAAAATAAACTCTTTTTGCCCCTTTAATATCATCATCCATATACACCCTAAAGTTAAACAATTGATTGTTTCTTCCGAAACCTTATCATCACAATTAACACCATTCCTATTCTTATTATAACTTGATACTAGAAAACAAAAATAAATTTTGATCGCACTAAAGTATTGTCTTTGCCTATTTTAGATAATTTATTGGATATTCTGTAAGGAAAAAGTAATAACAAATATTTTTAAAAATATGAAAATTTATTTGTCTTATATAGATATTATGTTAAAATATTTCTTGATGATGATATTTATGATAAAACAACTACATTTCAAGATATACTAGAAGGTTAGAGAAAATACTTTTTTTTGTTTAATACTTCGTTTTAAAAAATTTATCGAGAAATTGAATGATGTAAACAAAAACAAATAAATGGACATGATATTGATTTAATTAGTTATGTTGATATTCTATTATCAATAATAACTAGAAATCAATTTATTGAACAATGGTATCTATTACAAATACCATCTGGTTTAACTGTTATAAGAAAAGATAAATCACAAAGATTACAAGATAATTCATTTAACATTAGGATTAAAGCAAGCAATTGAAATTTTACCAATTGAATCATACTTGCATTTACACGAGATAAGATAAAATTTTGTTCTTTTAGTATATTCAACAAGATTATCTTTGACTGATTAGAATTCTTGAACCACATATTAGTCTACAAGATAAAGATGAAATTGGTATGTTCATACAGAATCAACACTGACATATCAAATAATTATTCCATTCCACAAAACAGAAAATTCTATTGTTCTCGTACCACAGTGCTTAGCTATGAATGAAGAGAATCAAATTTTTTCAAAACACGGACATTACACACAGCTTTTCGAATCATCTGAAAAAAAATCTGTTGTTCAACCACAACTTTCCTCATATCTTAATTGTTTATTTTAGCCACATTATTAACCGATATATTGCTTAATCTCTTTCATTTTTCACATGATTTCTTGTTGATATTGTTCAAGCAGAAATTTTATCAACACCTTCGAATACATTGACATTTCGTGGAAATTTCGTCGAAAGTAAATCTATGAAAGCTTATATGAAATTAATTGATGAAACATAGTTATGTGAAACATTAACACGTTTTTGTAATAGATAATGTTTCATCAAAAAATTCCAATGATATTTATTTAGAAGTTGATTTCGGACGGGTATCAAATTTACAAAACTTAGAATGATATCAAATAACTTTAAGATTATTATGTGAAAAAATTTGGTTAGCAATTTAACAATCACATCCATTATTTCGTCAGTTAATTATATGAAAAAAACAGTTTTTGTTTAAAAGAAATTAATACGTATGTTTTAGAGATTTTGACCATTATTATCATCTCTATGTTGTATTACTCAAGGTAAATTAACCTTAATAAAACATTACAAACATTAGTAAATTTTTCTAAGTAAAAAAAATCTAATTTTCAATTTTGAAAAAATTTTTAATTCAGTTTTGGTTCAAAAGAATCTTCTATGAAGTTTATGAATAATTTTCTTGGAAAAAAATCGGAAAATATACAAAGGTTTTTAGCTAATATATTTGTAAGTAAAAGAAAAACGATTAATCCACTATATAATAAATTATTCTTCAGACAATCGATCATGATTATGATGAACCGCGATCTTCAAATATAAATCTTCATGATAATAAATATGATATTGATTTAGATTAGTTTATTATTAAAGTTAATTTATCTGAAAATTTTTGTTTTATTTTAGATAGAGTATATTCAATATTTCATTCAACGGTTGCTGATCTACTATTCGAACAAATTGATCTAAATACTCGTCGAACATTAAATGAATTAACAAATAGAAAATTATTTTATTCAACAATACAAAATGATACACAAATACATTTACATCATCATTCAATATCAGCATCATCAACAATAACAACTGTTGAAAATCTTAACGAAGAAAATATTCGTACACCATTGCCTTACAAAAAGAAGAACATATACAGAGTGGTAATCCAGATGATAATGATCGAGCATATTTAAAATCAAACTCAAATCGAATCATTCAAAGCTCTTTAGTTTGTTAATAGTCTTTGTATTGAATCTGTTAAAAGTTCATCTCCTTCTTCTTCTGAACAATCTCTTGTTCATTTAACTATTCGGCAATCTTTACGACAACAATCATTATTTGTTTTAAATAATGGTTATATGGAAAGAAGTACACAAAACTTAACATCATCAAATATAAATACATCAATCACAACAAAAAATTCCTCAAAGTCAACAACTTCTTATTGTTTAAAAACAAATGATGAATTTAGTGGAACAACTAAAAGGCAATAGATTTTGCCATCTCAACAACAACTACTACTACCAAAAATGGGTGTTAAAGTATGGCATGGGTTTTTCTAAATTCAAAAAAAAATCGTTGCGGAAGAGTTTTTCGATGCCTTTGGTTCTAAAAACTTTATTGTTTTTTGACAACGATGTTCAATGTATTTTTTTTCCAATAGATACGTCGTTCTTTCCGACAAAAAGAAACTGCAGAATGCTATATCAAAAAATAAAATAAATGCAGAATTTTTACCCAACCCATTTGAAGCATTAATTAACGGTCATCGAATCTAGTTCCACCGTCACTACTTTTACCGTTTTCTTCAATTCATTTTAGTTTTGAATATTATCAAATAAATCATCTATGACATCAAAATTTTCTTTCTATGGATTTCATGAAGATTTCTGTAAATGAAATCTTCATTTGTTTAAAACTCATATCAACATGCAAGACAAATGCAGAGACATCTTTTCTTGATCCTTTATAGGTTGATAAATATCTAAAAGATTTTTTTTTTTTTTTTATTTATCAAAAATTGTAAAAGAAAAACGAATGAAATCATCTAAAAAAGATATTCATCGATAAATTCGTTGTGAATTTCCTAGATCAACAAGAAATGAAATTCGATTAGAATATTTATCCGAGTTTGATTATGTTTCGATTATAGAGTTGATATTCCAGAAACTGGAAATTATCAAGGTTTGCAATTTTCTTATGTTTCTCTTATATTTTATTCGGATTTTTTTCTGTCGTATGAAAACAAAGGGAATAGTTGATGATGAATATTCAAAATTCTCGACTGGATTCAAAATAAAAAATGGTCGAATAAAAAAGTAATTAAGAAAGATTAATATTTAATTTTTATTTATTCTCTATTAATAGGTCGTTATTTATGGACAATCTTGGAGTAGTTTTAAAGGATTACAAATTGGTTTTCTTCAACTTAAAGTTGAACAGTTTTATTTGATTTTAAAATAAATTAAATAAAACGATATTTTTTTGTTAAAGAACTTTTCTGGAATTATTTCCGGCTACTCAACAGATGGTTTCAATTCAAATAAAAGAATTTCCATTATAAATCAATGAGGAATTAATAAAGATTACCACTTATTTAATACATTTAGATTATTATTGGATAGAACATCAAAATCGGTTTTTATAATTCAAATTTCAAAACAAAGTGTAGATATTTCATGTATTTAGAGATAAATATTGCCGTCATAAAAGCATATCTGAAGATTATTCGAAGATTATATGTCCAGTTCTATGAACTGGAGGATTTTCAGATCTTTATAATTCGGCGATTTTTCGTTTAATTAATCGGTTGGAATGTCCAAAACGTGCTATTTTAGGTCTACGGGAACATCAATGGTCGCCTGTTTCGTCATGTGCATTTTATAAAATCTTTCTTTTCTAGAGATGATGCTTATCCTGGACTACAAATTGGATTTTTACAAGAACTAGTTCAATAGCTTGATGAATTTTAATTCATTTCCATCTTATCCGTATGAACACTTTCAAAGAAATAATCATTAAATTTATCAAAATCAACAAATTCATACAAAACAATAAAATATTATTTGTCTTTTCAATGTTTAATAACTGAATTTGTTTTCAATGATTTGAATCCTAAAAAAACTTCATTCTTATCCGTAAATATTCAAAAAGGAAATTTGAAGAGACATAAACTTTCCTTTACATTTCAATCAATTTATTATTAAATAATAATCGATTAAACATGAACAAGTGAAATATTCAAGTAAATCATTTCCCACCGGCTAGATCTACGAATGTAACAACACGAAAAGGTAGTGTATGAGATATGGCTCTTCTCTTCACCTGCATCCGCACACCCAACTTGATCAGTTGATAGTTTTGTGTTAGTCATATAATAATACGCCGTTGAGAGATTCAAAAATACTATACTGATGCCCATTATTATTCAATGTCTTGATTTAAATTTCCACTGAGTATTTTTTTCGAAAAAAATAAATATGACTTCCATTAAATTATTGAACTAAGAGAAAATTTCTCGTTATACTTTGACCTACTTCTTATTTTCAACACATTTGAATCGATCTTATTGAAGTTTTGATATTTTTCAAAACAATCAAACTTCCATAGAAGTAAATCATTTGATTGCGAATCTATTCATAGAATGTATCGTTTTGATCAAGAATAAACGAGAATATTATTTGTTAAAAGAGATAATATTTATTTGTCTATCGATTTATCGTTGTATATTGACGTCGTTTATATAACTATTTATTTTAGAAAATATTTCAAATCAATTTCATTTATTTTCAGAATTATTTGGATTTTCAATTGTTAAACTTAATTTAAGTTCTAATAGTAAAAGTGCTTTAATATGTGTTCGCCTTCAATTCTTATTTCACTTGGAATTCCTAATTTAACACTATGGCCTTCGTCGCAACTATCAACATTGACGTTTGTTATCATATATTTTAGAGAAAGAATAAAACTTTAGGCTTTTTTAGAATTCATTTTAATGAATTATCTATATGTATTCTGACATTGCCTTGCTTAAATGACCAATAGTAAGAGAGTTTTATTAGAATATATTAAAAAAAGAAACATTTCTTTGTTGTAATTAATAAAGCTTGACAAGAGATGATTTCGATTTTTCTGAAATTTGTCAAGAAATTCCAATAAAACATTTACGAGATAGTTCAATCACTCGTTTTAGAATGTTAGATGAAATCAATACATTAATAACATTAAAAGTAATTCAATTTTTCGTTTCTTTTTAAAGATCAATGAAGATAATGTTTCTATTGAATATCCTAATGGTTTAATATTGGATGAAGCATCAGAAAGTATTTATGAAATTAAAAAAAATGATCCTCAATCAGCAAGAATAGAAATAAAAAGATATCTAAAATATTATTTTCAAGATCAATCATTAATTAAATATTCATAATAAGGACCAATTAGTTTTTAAGAATGATTGGAATTTAACATTTCCTAGAGCTTGCAACTAATTTATTGATTCAAATTACATATGACATCATCCTTATAATTGCATCTTGAGTAAAATATAATAGATGAAACGTACAAGAAAATAAAACAAATAACATCTTTCATTTTGTCAAGAGTTATGATAAAAAAACTCAGCATAAAAAAGAAACTTTTGAAAAATATTTTAAGTGATGACATTTATTAGAGTAACGATTCTAATTTTAAAACTTCTTTACATGCCGAATTCGATCAGTGAAAAGAGTTTACAACTTTGGAAAATCTATTTATGAAGAAAAAAATATTAAATTGATATTTCTCTATTTGAAATGTTCAAAATAATCACCATGAATGCTTTAAATAACTATTTCATTGAGCTTCTTGGCTATGGTTTTTTTGCAAAGTTCGTTTCATTTGAATAGATGTCAAACTTGTCTTTAGCATACTTAAAAAATCAAAAGTTTCAAAGAGAAAGATTGGTTATCGGAGTATGTCGAAGAAGTCATAATTTTTATTTTTTCTTCCTCAAGCTCATGGCATTATAGCAACTTCTTTGATATGTAGTTTTGCACTATTATGATGCAGCTTGATATCATTTGTACCGAATGGTGATCTGTTTTTCCAATGAATTCTCAAGCAACGCTTTTAAACACTGATCACGATAAAAGTTAACATCAATAGATACTTAACATGGAATCTGATGAAAAAATAACGATCCAACTGTCATTGAGATAAGATGTGGATGTAGATGGGAGTGTTAGTAAAGAGAAAGTCAACAAACTAATACCCGCGCCCAACTTTTCGACAAATTCTTGAAACCGATCAGAAAAATAAAGCATGATTAGTTCATGCAGTTTTCAAGGAACTAATGAGTTTTTTTAGAAAAAGAGCTCAAACAAACTTCCAAACTTGGTATAAATAATTATGGCAATATTTCTGAACATTTGATGGAATAAAATTAAAAATGTATTTTGATCTTGGTATTTTTATTTAGCGTTATCAGAACTTTTGATCAACTCTCTAAGCCGTAAATTGAGTTGAGTGAAGAAGCAGCAATGATCGACAATATGTCCTTAGTGTAGAAGAAAAGAATTAATAACCAACGTATTGATCGTAATAATAAAAGAATACAGAGAAAACACGAAACAAAAACATAAAAATATTCAAAAAGACATTAACACTTTCAACAAGATAATAGCTGCAAATTAGAGACTGGCTGATTAACAGTCTGACTCTAAAACAGTGAAAAAAGATTTATTCAATCGTGAAGCGTAACACTGAAAGTATAAAATAATAAAAACTGAATAGATTCTGGAACTCCAACGATTTTTATTGAAAGCCGTTTCAAATGTTCATATTATTGTTCTCATGGGGGTTTCTGAATAAAAAGCAATCTTTTCATGTTAGTTTTTTCAAAAAAAAAAAACTAAATGAATCAAATTATAAATAAGAATGCATCACAGGATTCTTTGTGATCTCTATGATTTCAAGAATAACACAATTTTAGTATACGCCCACATAACAATGTATATGAATTTTCTTTATTAATTAAACTATCGATATAACTAAAAAAATAAAATCAACAACTCTACAAACAATAATATTCATGTGTCGATTAAGGAAGACTACATTTTGTAATCAAACATATCACTGAAGAAAACACCCTATTCGAACCATTTAAAATTTTATTAAAATTATTTTCGAGTGAATAACTTTCGAGACAAGGAATTCTTTAGTAGTGACATTACAATGATGTTGTGGCATCGATAATATTTTTGTTCGAAACATCTGTAAAATAGTTAAAGAAAATTAAAATTGTTTAAGTAACAAAACGTTTCGGTTGCGATGATTACGAACTAGATTGATACACAAATATTGCAAGGAAATTAGATATTTTCCAATCGTTTTTGGGTGTCTTAAAGACATACACAGATAATCATTTGAAAGCTTTTTCAAAAGATATTATGCTATAAGATTTATTCAGACTCGTCAACTCAATAAGACATGATTTACATCAATTTTTGAAAAAATA